ATAGCCGCATCAGAGGAAGCTCCTCGGGAACGAGGTGGAAATGGCCGTGGACGATGTTGAGCACGATTTCCATTGCATGTGCCGAGTCCTCGGGCAGGTCGACGCTCCATTCGCCGCTGGCCTGTTCCGGACGCGACTCGGCGAACCCACCGAATAACATGGCCTTCAGGACCGGCGAGCTTCGTCCGAGTGCTCGCGAGCAGACGACAAAGTCTTGCGGGTACTCATCGACATCGGCACCGACGCAGAGCCTCAGGTCGCCGTTGTCGTCGAGGTAGATGGTTGGTGACGAAATGAGTTCCGTCACCTCCGTCACCTCTGTCACCTCGGTCACTTCCTCCGTCACCACCGTCGTACAGCTGGGCATCTTGCCGCCGAGGACCGTCTTCTGGTCGACGGGCCGGTGCGGCAAAGACTCGAAAGAGAAGGTCGGGCCGCCAAAGAGGCTCTGCTGGGCGGTAGTCGAACACATCGTGGCATGTATCTCCAGGCATGTCAAACCTTCTATCCACAAGATACCACGAAAGTCGGGCGCGCGCGGCTGGTAAATAGGTCAGAGTGTCAGCGAGAGCGCCGTCGACAAACGGACCGGGATGTTGTCTCCCTTTGTGAGCATAAAGGGGACTTCAAATTGCAACCTAGTGTTCCGATGGCATGACTAGCCTCTGTCGGGAATCGGTCCCTCTTTCTAACTTTGGGCGAAAATGAGGGACCTCAAAATTGGGACGGAATGATAGTATCTTGGACTATGCGGTATAGCTAGCCTGTTGGTCCCAACAACAACAACATCTAACCCGTTTGCTACCCAATTGACATGAACCGGCGGAGTGACCTGCCGAAGGGGCAAGCAGCCGCCCGTAACGGGGTGCTCCAAAACCCGTACCACCCTGGGCCTTGGAAACACCATGCATTCTTTGAGAAATCCGGGTTCAGTGTGGGTGCAAACAAGGAAGACGGTGGAACGGGGGCCGGGAGGGGGGCAAGGCAATCAGGGCAGAAGACAACAACAAAACCGACGATCGGGACCCTTGCTGGCCCGGGATGGCCGCACTTGTGCTCTGTTACGCAGGGCTGCTGGCAGTGTTAGGTATGTTGTTTGATGGTAACACCAGCGCAAACAGACCATGCGATGAAACCAAAAGACGGTGGTGGTACCTGACTCATAACTCTATCGCGAACCAGACTTGCAATAAAGCAGAGCTGGGAATCGCGACTGTGAGCCGGTTGTGCGTTGTGAGACTTATTAAGCTCTCATTTGCGGGATGCAAAACACTGCTGTCGTCATGTCACGTCTCCCTCGTAAACCCTAACGGTCGAATACTATTCTGAGCTTCTCGGCACAATGAATCGCTGATGAATACACAGAATTTGAACCGGCTTGGAGACCACTCTCTATGCCACAAAATCCAACTTGGGGTCAGGAGTGCCTTTGATCAGTCGTCGAGGAGGTCGGCCCGGGGGTCGAGCAGGTTAGCCCCCGCAAACCCTCCGCCTTCAGGGTCCTACAACGGGATCGCACACACCATTACGGTCATCGTGACCTTTCCTATTCCGGGCTGCAGGACCGATGGTATGCTTTTCTTTTTCCCGGTTCGGAGGCTCGTCCTTGCGCAAGTGCCGTCCATCTTCAAGGCACGCGGAACCGTTTTACTGTGGGTAATGGTTTTCTCGAAACCTGTTATACACGATGTGTGACCTTTGACGCAGGGTCTGGTGCCAAGGTTTTTCTGCATCTTCTCTGCTGGCTTCGATGATATCGGGCAGCCGGCTGAGCTGAACAACAACATCACTATTCCCTGTTTGTTATGTTGGGCCAGCATGACAGAGCTTTTGTGATCCCCACAGACACGCATGACATGTTGCGTTTCCACACGATTAAGACTCTGGTTTCTTCTGCATGGTGTGTGTGGTATGGCCAGGGTTGTCGTACGATATCCCGTGAGACTTGTAGGGAAAAATACGAAAAGGGGGCTGTGATACCAAAGTGGTAAGAGTTACCACTTACTGTGCACAGACAGCGGTACTTTTCCCCCTCTTCGGCATGGCGGAGGAGAGAGTACCTAGAGCGGCTTCTCTTCAGATGATCACGGCAACCTCTCCTTTTCTTTCGTCCACAGTAAGATCGGACGTTTCCTGGGCCGCACAGTCACACACACTGTCTAGTGTGCGCTGTGAATACCTACTGCTTGCTGTTAACCGAGGTCTTCGTACATTGTGAAGGAAAGAAACGTGGGCAAGTTGTCCGATTTCAATGATCCGATGCGCGGTCGTGTCGCACCCCCGCCGAACTAACAAGCTGCAAAGCGGCTTTACCCAACGAAGTTCAGGGCGGCAACCAAAACGTATCTGGTAATATTGGCTGCCGGAATGGACACCGATCCAATGGTTGCAGGAGGCGCCACGTCTACCACGAACGCTATTGCGTATTAGCTACGAGCTTGAGATGTGTTTCTGTCATGTCCAAAACCAATTGTGCAAGCTTTCGGACCCTAAAAACCATCTCCCCGTTAAGGTTAAACCCTGTAGAGTTGTTGCGATAACTGAGTCGTCTGCGAAAGGGACGGTGAAAATAACGGCCCAATTGTGGTTAGTAACGTCCCAATCTCCAGCTCTGCTTGGAAAAAAAAACCGACTGTTTATTTCTATTTTTCCACTTGGGACATACTGGAAAACGGTTTCCCAATCAGTGGCTTGACCAGGACTAGATGTTCCCTCCTAGCTGGACCGCTATGAAAGAAGACCCCCTTCCTGAACGGCAGCTTCGCGAGTTCAGGGGTACGGAGTACCAAGCAGACGTTCGGTTGCCCAACAGTCATGCCATCCTGATTAAGGTTGACGACCTTATCAATGCTGGACAATAGCGTCTTGACAACCTCGAAAAGGAGCGCCGTCATGTGGCTCGATACTGCTGCCGCTTCAGAAGTGGATGATTGATGATACGTGCCTTTCGGGACAGATACCCGATGATGGAGCTCGATGAATCTGTGTGTGCAGCACGGGTGATCGACAGCCGGGAATCGAGTTATGGATAGGAAGCGGTCTGGGGAAGCCAGGGGTCAAGAAACATATTGAGTCTTTTACGGTAACGGTAACATCTTACGGGCCTCCCAGGCCGGCGGGGGTCTCATCCGTGTTCCGTGTCCCGTGTCCCTTGTTCTTTTCTCTGCATCATATGACAAGGAAGCCATTTTGGATTTGTGAGTGGAGTGTATGTGCAGTAACAATGGCGTATTAACAAGAACCATAGCTGTAAAACTGAAGACGGGTTTGTGATAAGAGCATAGCGGACAACCTTACTAGGGTAGCTTGTTTCTATAATCACTCACTTTGTTTGTGCATATCAAGTTTGTATGCTGAAAATCAGGCTGTCTCCGGTAACATAAGATAATGGTCGAAGATGACAACCAAGCGTTACTGTTGGATTGATAGCTTACTAGTATTTATTGGCTGGGCAGAAGCTGATAGCGGTCTACCATAATTTGAACCGAGGTATGCTGCTTGAAGCGGGTAATCATGCTAAGCTTTTTGCGGACAGAATCCCTCGTCCGACTTCGCGGCTAGATATGGCAATGACCTCGTCGCAATGATTGTTCGTGTGCTCCAGCGTTCACCGAAATTCTATATCATTTGGAAGTGAAACGACTCTCTAGGCCATAGCTTCATAGCCCCACTCTATCGACAAACGGTGATGAAGGCATACCGTATGATCACTCAGTTATGTATTCCGAGCGTCATGAGTTCTGCAGCATTACTGGTCACGTTGAGTCAATCAAACGGTCCTGCACCTGTTGCACATGAGTCGACGCACTCGTGTCCAAGGTTTCGAGTTGTGTTGTCTACCCGTAATTTGCACGTGGGATCCGAGTCTATTCAAAGTTTACAAGAATATCCCCGCCCAGTAGCCAGGATATCCTGAGACTTTGGATCGGGCCAACGCTATCGGATTGTTCTACCTAGATCAGACACATTAGAGGGAGCAGAGGGCGGGAAGGTGAGGTGGAAAAAAACAAAAATAAAATGTGACATGTCAGTGGCAATTAGACCAAACTCTACGGCAGAGTTATCTAAACATTGCATCGTCCAAGGCTGTCGACGATGGACGAATCGGAAACCCCAGACCTACCGATTTGGTTTCAATCAAAGATCAGATTTCGAGCAAAGCCTAAGTCGTACGGCACATGGATGGAATGAACGTGCTTGGCGATTTCCGCACACGTCGGTGAACGTCGGAGAGACACCATCTCACACAAGTCTGGCTCATCGAATCAGGCGTAGCGGAAGATGATGTCAGGATATGAGATGAATCCGGACTAGCCAGGATACATTGGCCGAAGAAAGGTGCATGGTCGGGGTTAGTAAAAGCGGTGACGGGCGTAAATCATTGGCGTCTTTTGTTATAGTCACGTCGGACGCGCCGCGGTTCTGACGCCAAGTCATCAGTGCCAATGATGCTGTTATTAAGCAACCGAGCTGCTTAGTCGCGCCGACAGGCACATTGGACGGCTTATTGCAGTCGACGCCCTCCCCTGAAGATGTATGAATCGGTGACGATCGTGGCCAGCGGTTGACGGGTTGCGCATCCGGTGACTGTACCCCACTGGATAAAGTCGGCTGCCCGGGAAGTGGTGCTCGAGATTGATGGGAGAAGATTGCAGGTTGGATGGTGAATACTTCCGCCATGCTACTACGTTCCTGCATGTGCAATTTATCCAGAATCGAATATTCTCCTCATCTGCATCCCGGGCTCGACCCGCCCCAATGATGTTGTCTCGTTTCGACGATCTAGTCTATCTCCCCGCATAGCAAATTGCGGAGGAAGGCAATTAGCCAGGTCATTCAGAACAGGGCAATGACATGGCATGACTCCATCTAGATCGTGCTGCCTATATATCCCGCGAGGGATTCACAGGTCTCCTTGCTGTATGAGAAGCCGGTGATCTGGGGTGACTTTTGCCCGTATTCGGTATTTACACACTGCAATACATACTGCGCGATTCAAGATGAAGTCTACTTGGCTCATTGTCCTCGGTGCTGTCGTGTCCGTCGTGACGCAGGAGGAAGACCCCGAATCTCGACGACAGAGTTACCCCAACTGTGTCAATGGGACCCTGTCCGTGAACAAGGTTTGTGACCGCACGCTGTCTCCGCCGGAGCGTGCGGCGGCTCTTGTGAAGGCCTTGACCGTCGAGGAGAAGCTGCAGAACCTAGTCAGGTACGTCACAGAAACAAACAAACAAACAGATGTCGTCGTCTGTTTCTTCTTCTTTTTTCTTTCTTTTTCTTTTCCTTTTTCTACGTGAGTTTGGCGAAGAACTGACGCCTCGTGAAGCAAGGCGCAGGGAGCTCCCCGCATCGGCTTGCCCGCGTACAACTGGTGGAGCGAAGCGCTTCATGGCGTGGCCTACGCTCCGGGGACGTATTTCCCCGAAGGCGACGTGGAGTTCAACTCGTCCACGTCGTACCCGATGCCGCTTCTGATGGCGGCGGCGTTCGACGACGAGCTGATTGAGCAGATCGGCGCCGCCATCGGCATCGAGGCCCGGGCCTGGGGAAACGCCGGCTGGGCCGGGCTAGACTACTGGACGCCCAACGTCAACCCGTTCAAGGACCCGCGATGGGGCCGCGGGTCCGAGACGCCCGGGGAGGATGTGCTACGGGTCAAGCGTTACGCCGAGTACATCACGCGTGGTCTCGACGGGCCCGTCCCCGGGGAGCAGCGCCGCGTCATCTCGACGTGCAAGCACTACGCCGGCAACGACTTTGAGGACTGGAACGGCACCAGCAGGCACGACTTCGACGCCAAGATCACGGCGCAGGACCTTGCCGAGTACTACCTGATGCCCTTCCAGCAGTGCGCCCGGGACTCCAAGGTCGGTTCCATCATGTGCGCTTACAACGCCGTCAACGGCGTGCCGTCGTGCGCCAACGAGTATCTTCTGCAGAACATCCTGCGGGAGCACTGGAACTGGACGGAACACAACAACTACGTCACAAGCGACTGCGAGGCCGTGCTCGATGTCTCGGCAAATCACAAGTACGCGCCCACCAACGCCGCCGGCACTGCCATCTGCTTCGAGGCCGGCATGGACACAAGCTGCGAGTATACCGGCTCGTCGGACATCCCCGGAGCCTGGTCCCAGGGCCTGCTCAAGGAAGAGACCGTCGACAGGGCGCTTCTCCGGCTCTACGAGGGTCTCGTCCGGGCGGGCTACTTTGACGGGCACGAGGCCATCTACGCCAAGCTGGGTTGGAAGGATGTCAACTCGGCCGAGGCCCAGAGCCTCGCGCTCCAGGCCGCCGTGGAGGGGATTGTCCTGCTGAAAAACAACGGCACTCTGCCTCTGGATCTGAAGCCCTCCCACAAGGTGGCCATGATTGGCTTCTGGGCCGACGCCCCGGACAAGCTGCAGGGAGGCTACAGCGGGAGAGCCGCGCACCTCCACACCCCGGCGTACGCCGCCCGGCAGCTCGGCCTGGACATCACCTTGGCGTCGGGGCCCGTTCTGCAGAGGAACAACGCGAGCGACAACTGGACGGCCGCCGCCTTGGAGGCAGCCGAGGGGGCGGACTACATCCTCTACTTTGGCGGCTTGGACACCTCGGCGGCGGGCGAGACGCTGGACCGGACGGACCTCGAGTGGCCGGAGGCGCAGCTGATGCTGATCAAGAAGCTGAGCGCGCTGGGGAAGCCGCTCGTGGTCAACCTGCTCGGCGACCAGCTGGATGACACGCCCCTATTGCAGCTTGACGAGGTCAGCTCGATCCTGTGGGCCAACTGGCCGGGCCAGGACGGCGGCGTCGCCATCATGAAGCTCATCACGGGCGAAAAGAGCCCGGCGGGCCGCCTGCCCGTCACGCAGTACCCGTCGAACTACACGGACCTGATCCCGATGACGAGCATGGACCTCCGGCCGACGTCCCAGTACCCTGGACGCACGTACCGGTGGTACGACAAGCCCATCAAGCGCTTCGGGTTCGGCCTCCACTACACGACATTCAAGGCGGAGGTCGGGGGCGCATTCCCCAAGACGCTGAGGATCGCGGACCTCGTCGGGTGCGGGAACGAGCACCCGGACACGTGCCCGGCCCCGCCGCTGCCGGTCAGCATCACCAACACGGGCAACCGCACCTCCGACTACGTGGCTCTCGCGTACCTGTCGGGCGAGTACGGGCCTCGGCCGTACCCCATCAAGACGCTCTCGGCCTACAAGCGGCTGCGCGACGTGGCGCCCGGGGAGACGGCGACAGTGGACCTCGCGTGGACGCTTGGCGATATTGCGCGCCACGACGAGCAGGGGAACACGGTGCTCTACCCCGGCGAATACACCATCACGATCGACGAGCCGACGTTGGCAACCGCCGCGTTCACTCTCGAGGGCGAGGAAGCGGTGCTCGACAAGTGGCCGGCCCCGCCCAGCTAAGGGATCGGGTGCCACATGAATGGTATACCTATGCGTGGCGAATTGGGACATGTAAATGCAATCCTCGATGACCAAGAAAACTCCCAAGATGGTGTCAATGCTAGGCCTGTTTGTCGACTCAAGATAACATAAAGATCAAAAGATGATACGCCCGTCTCTGGACCGTGACATATCGAAAGCCACCCACAACAAGGTGCATCGAACATCGCATGGATAGCCTGGTATTAGAGTTGACCCGTCCTTGCATTCATTCATCCATTGCAACTTGATCCGATATGGCGCTGGAGGGAAACTGGGTTTGCTGGATGCGGCGGGCGCTCCCGGACAAGTCAACCCGCTCGATCAGCCATCTACTGCGTAGGCCGATGGCCGCAAAGGCAGTTGACCAGCTCGGCCCAGTCAAACTTGTTCATGGCCACCACATTGAGGCCAAAAAGTACCTTGGCTGGTGCGTTTGCGACGCTCAAGGCGGACACATTGTCCGAGAGTCTGTCTATACACACCACCAGAGATGTGAGTGAGTGGGTGAGTGAGTGAGTGGGTGAGTGAGTGAGTGAGTGAGTGAGTGCCTGGACGAGGCAACCGTCGGACTGGGGGCGGCGACGCGGGGCTAGCGCATGGACCCACATATTTAGTTAGCTCCGAATGGCTCAATCCGTTAAGCGAGGCCGCGACCCGGACCCACCATGGATGGCCCGTGCATTAGTCCGTGCTACCTGCCGGCAGGAACGTTGGGGCTTGTGTCACGTTGTCACTTTGTCACTCTTCCATCGTACTCGCGATATCCATCCCTCGCTGCCTAAACCATCACCCTCCCATGGGACTCGATAACCAAATGCGCAATGGAATGAAGAAAATGATACTGAACCATCACCGAAACCGAGTCTTGGTCTCTCTGGCCGCGTATCTCAACCCCATGGTCCTCGGCCAGCTGTCATTGTGCAACCTGACTGCCCGGCCACGCTGCCCCGGCCGCCATGGCGTGTGTGGCTTGCTCTTTGGTCGCTTTTCACTCACCGGCATCCGGGGCTGAGTCCTGCGTTTACGATGAACTTGGGAAAGCCACTAGGACATCCCGCCTTGGTTGCCTCACGGGTCGCAAACCAACGCGTCCTGCCCCAAGTCCTGCAAGCTGGCGCAGCCGCCGTAGCTTCGACATTGCATGAACAAGGCTGCTGCCTCCGGGCTTATTCAACAGGCATCTACATATGAGCATCTCTTCATCTCTTGTTTGATTCCGTGCTCGGTCCAATCCCACTCCATTTCATCTTCTCGTCCTCATATCAAGCCTCCCAGTAAACAGTTCGGAGTCGTCTCAAAATATTGAGCTGCCACGATGGGTATCACCGACGTCTTTGACAAGGAGGTTCTCTCCGAAAAGGCCTGGAAGATGCGCTGCAGGCTACTGCCCCACAAGGAAGACGTCGGCCGGCCCATCCAGGACATCGAGGGCAGCCTCTCGGACGAGGACCTCAAGAAGCAGCCCGCCAAGAACCCGACGTTCGGCGTCGATGCCACCGTCAAGACCCTCTACGAGGGAAAGAACAGCTGCGGAGGCGTCTACGACTGGGTCGACTTCCCCCCCAAACAAATGAGCAAGAAGGCCGCCGAGAGCCAGGACCGTCCTGCCATCAAGGTCTACAAGATCAAGGACATGGACAAACCCATCATCGGCGGCCGCTTCTCCTTGGCCTACCACCAAATCAGCATCCAGAACCCGACTCTTGTCGCCGCCCTGGAGCCGATACTCAAGAAAGAGGATTTCCACATAGACCCCAACGACACTGCAACCTTCGAGGCCCCCTTCCGTCCTTTGTTCTTCTGCTACGACGACATCCTGGACTTGTATAGGACAACCGACGACAGCTCGCTCAAGGGCTATCTGCAGCTCCTCGTCCGCACTCTGGATGACGTGCTCGGCGAGACGCGCGAGAAGAAGCGGAAGCTGCAGTCGAGCTGTCTCATCCACTTCAAGATGGCCTGGACATACTTCCCGAGAGGCTCCGTCGTCTACAGCAGCGCCTGCAACACGGAGATGCTGTGCAAGGTGGAGGGCACGGCCTACGAGAGGGCCGAGGGAACCGTGGTGCTGAATGTCAACTGCAAGATCCTCACCTTCAACGGCGAGACCTTCGTCTGGAGCGACCACAAGCTGCAGATCCCAAAGTTCGCCGGCAACAGGCCGATCCGCGACCTCGACCACTACCCCCTGCAGTTCCACGAGGACAAGGAAGGCATGATGCGGCGGACGCTCGCCCGGGGAACCAGGGTCCTCGACCTCCAGGGGCTGACGTACTGCACCTACACCGGCGTCGCGGTGGGCGAGAAGAGCAGGTATAACGTGGAGGGCAGGATCCTCGTCGACGTTGTGGGGTTCAACAAGTACGAGCGCGCCCGGGGCAAGAGGGAGCAGGACGACGCGAACACGCGGCGGAACCGCGTTGTCTCTCATGAAGAAATCTTCTTCTCCAACGAGGGCGCTGACGCGACGAAAGACGCCGACCCCATCAAGACAGAGACTGGCGGCGGCAGGCATCTCGCCGCCAAGAAGCAGCAGAGGAACAAGGAGGAGATGCTCGCGCGGGAGGATGACTTGGTCTTCATGTCTCCGCTGATTGAAGGTTTCGCTTTGAAGAACAAGGTCTGGCGTACGTGGTTGGGCCCTCCCTTCTCTCGTTCAATCAGCACGGGTGTTGTTACTGACATGAACAGTGGCCTTTTACGTGGAAGACATTGCGCCGATTACGTGGAACGACACGGCCTACGACCACCTGGTCTACGACGAGCAGCAAAAGGACCTCGTCCTGTCGTTCGTGGAGAACCACGGCCGCGGCGGCAGGAGCGCGATGGAGGACGTCATCGTGGGCAAGGGGCAGGGGCTCATCATCCTCCTCAGCGGCCCGCCGGGGACGGGCAAGACGCTCACGGCGGAGGCGGTGGCGGACCGGACGCACCGGCCGCTGTTCTACCTGCAGGCCGAGGACCTGGGCATCAACCCGTCGACGCTGGGGGAGAAGGTGAAGCGGGTGTTCGAGATGGCGACCGAGTGGGACGCCGTCGTGCTGCTGGACGAGGCCGACGTCTTCATGGCCGAGCGCAACCCCAACGACATTGCGCGCAACGAGCTCGTGTCCATCTTCCTGCGCGAGCTCGAGTACTTCCGCGGCATCATCTTCTTGACGACGAACCTGTACAACACCATCGACACGGCGTTCCGCAGCCGCGTGAGCCTGCACCTGCTGTTCAAGGCGCTGAGCCCGGACTCGCGCGGGCTCATCTGGCGCAAGTTCCTGGGCAGGCTGCCGCCGGCGGGGGGTGACGAGAAGGCGGACGGTCTGGTGCCGCTCTCGGACGAGGACATCAAGGAGCTGGGACAGTGGCAGCTGAACGGGCGCGAGATCAAGACGGCGGTCAAGATGGTGTCCAAGTGGTGCGACCACAAGGGCTACGAGATGAGCCTGGCGAGGCTGGAGAACGGCATCAGGGTGACGAGCCCCCACGCGTCCAAACAGAAGCACGCGGAGGACGACGACGATTTGTACAACTAATAACCACACCTCCATGGGAGTATGTCTGTTGGCCGAGGGGGGGGGGGGGGGGGGGGGGGGGTATAGAGAAACCTTCCTGTTAACGATCAGACGAAGGCAGCCTGAGTCCCCACCCACACGTCTCCTTAATGGAGACAAGGCTGTCATGAAATCTAGTTGTTCCTTGATGTCTGAGTACGACGAGGACCATATAGGTATTGGACAAAAACGCTACCGCGTCGAAGGTGGGCAACCAGCAGTGTGTATCGGCTACAGTTACCCCCTGCCAGTTATCTTACCGGCGTCCGTCTTTCTTTTTGCTTCCCCCGGAGAACGGGGAGCCTGGATGCCTAGAGTTGGCGAACCACCGACAAAGCGTAAGTCGACCTGGCTAGCTAATACAGCGCCTCGGTCGGGGCTGGCTCTGATGCAGTGTGGACCCTGAAAGGTCGTCGCTCGGAACTATCGAGCGGCAGCGGCATCTGATGGGAAAGTCTCTCCTGTCCGGGCTAGACGGACCGCCGACGACCAGCTACGAGGAAGTTGTTCCCCCCCCCAGCGCGGCAATCCCCTTCTAATAAAGGGGGGAAAGTCCCACGGCGCTGACGTTCGGTCTCAGGCGGCAGGGCTTGTGGCCCGTTGTCCCATCCGGACAGACCAAGCCCGCCGCTACTGAGACTTGCCCAGCTTCGACAGCGTCTTCCTGCGTTGCTTGATCATGTAAGTGTACATGACGTACGATCCTACGGGGGGCGGTCAGCTTCTGCCGGAGGGCGGAAAGGGCGTGGGCGCGCGCATACCTGGGACGTAGAGACAGAGGCAGAAGTAGAAGACGGGAGGCAGGGCGGCGCTAACGCGCCGGGCGGGCTCGACGGCGAGGTACAGCAGCCAGAACTCGGAGGCGATGCCGACGGGGTAGAGGGGGTAGAACATGGTGTAGCTGAGGCAAGGATTTTGTTAGCTTTTGTTTTGCCCTCTTCGCCGCCCCCTCCCCGGGACATGGGAGTAGATGGATTTTGAGGGGGACTCACCGCAGCCAGACGAGGGCGGCGGGGGCCTTGCCGTGGAGGTTCAGGGCCAGGTAGGCGTAGCGGACGGTGTCGGCGGCGGCCCACGACAGCAGCAGGGAGACATAGGCGGCGGAGGAGGCGGTAGTAGCGGGGAAGCTATAGCAGACCATCCAAACGATGATGGTGCGGGCGACGACCTGGAGGGCGGTGGTGCCGACGGGGGACCTGACGAGGCCTGGGGTGGGCGGTTCCGGGGTGTTAGCGGGTTTGTGTCTCGGATGGTGTCTCTCTCTCGCTCTCTCTCATATGTCAAGTCCGGGTCCGAGTCCGGCTCCGGACGGGTGTCACGCGCAATGGGACGGTCTCACCGAGGGCGGAGTGCACGACTTCGATGAGGGTGAGGGTCTGCACCCATCGCGAGCGGGCCTCGGCGGCTTCATAGACGGCGGGTGCGCCGCCGCCGCCGCCGGCCGACATGGTGGCGGCGACAGTGAAGAGGACGGAGGCCCAGAGGGAGGCGAAGATGGCGTTATAGAGCGTCAGGTACGCGACGCGCACGCCGCTCTCTGCGCGTTGGCCCTTAGCGGCCATTGCTTGTTTTGAAGTTGGGATTAGGGAGCGGGGGATTAAAGACCTGTTGATTCACACTCTTGAAAAGCTCTCAATGCCTTCAACTTCTTTGCAGTGTCGCATTCGAAGAAAGAAAAGAAAAAAAAAAGAAAAAAAAAGGAGCTCGGGCCACACTATCTATCACTTTTCTTTTCATCTTCTTTTTGGTAGCGAAATTCGAGAGGTTCAGGGTGCCCACGTTTTACGCGCACTTTGGCTGCTTAGCTCAGCATGTCTTCGCTGCCGAGGCATATGCTGACTAACGCTTTGAGAACCTCGGAAAAAAAAAAAAAGAGAAAAAAAGACCAAAACAAGATTTCAAACTCCACCCGCGGTACGGATACAATGTATTGACTGACTGACACACGGTCAAAATCACTTATACATTGATTGGGCCCCCCCGGCCGTCAAAGGACGGACACGAACTGGGATCCGTTCTGGGATAGCTAAGCTACACGACGTGTACTCCGCACAGGTGCACTACCTAACATACCTAGTAGAGTACGGACGGAGGGAGCGACGGGACGGTGACTGGTTACAGAAGCCGAAAACCCCTGCCGCGAGACGGTACGTACCGGAGCTGCCACGGGCGGGTCTGCTCCAATTGGCCAATGGCGGCGTGGCCTTTGGCAAAAGCTGTGGAAACCTCCAAACCCGGGAGGCCAGAGAAGCAGCAGCTCTCGTTCCCGCGGGACGGAAGAAGGCGAAGAAGACCCCCTTCCGGTTTCTTCCCAGGCGTTTTACCGGGCCTGATGCCGCTTTAAGACGTGTCTGCCGGGGGAGGTTGTCACGATAGTAGCTGCCATCTTGGCGACGGGATCCGTGTGTCTGATGACAGTTTGAGCGTGTTTGGTGAGCATGTATGAATGGAACGCTGGAGATAAAGAGGGTTTATTTATGTTTATACGGAGTAGTGTCAGAGAGTCGGTTGCTCCTTTGCTTGAGCTTCGGTACCAGCTCTTGAGCTTCTCCCCTGGCCATTTACATATTGCGAATGCGGACGAATATCACGATATCTTCAGCCCGGAGCTGCTCCTCAACTGGAGACCAACGTAGTCTTCCGTGGGAAATTCGTGGAAAAAGACTGACTTCTGAATGCAATTCCAATGCTTTCTTTGTTACACCCAGCTTTGACATCTGCAGTATATCCACGCATATCTTGGAACAAAGCTGAAGTCGGTGACCGGGTAATTCCACCGAAACATGTTTGGCTTACCAGATTCCCATTGTTTGTAACCGTCAAAACCGTCAATAATTCGGCGACTGGGCACACAAGTCAAATCCCCTTGGGAAAGCCCCTTGGGAAAGAAAAAAAGGCCGTCCACCGCTGCAATGGGAATGACGAGAAAGGTAGCCAAGGCCCAAAGCGCAAGATAAAGGGGTCCTCGGTGGGTTAAAGCGGCGGCCGGTTTTTGTGTTGCGCGCGCCCAAAAGAAGCTTCGACGTCAATTTTCCCTCGGGCATATTTCCCGACTCTCTTTCCGGTCTCTCGTCCTCACAACAAACATACGACGTCTCACGACGCTTTGCTTGACACCACTGCCCTTCCCCCGATCGATAGCTCCGACCGCCTCTTCGACATCTTTCTTCCCCCCTCCCTCATACTACATACCCGCGACCATGATGCGCCCCCAGATCCAGACCGTCGGCCGCATGGCCAGGCCCTCGACGAGACTCGCCTCCGCCGCCCGATCCCACATCGCCAACGCCGCCCCGAAAGCGTCGACCCGGTCCCTCGTCACTGCCACGCGGTCCGTCCCCAGCGCATACGCCGTCTTCTTCGGCGTGTCCTCCTCCTCCCGGTACCGCTCCTTCAGCACCACGCGCATCCAGCACGGCGAGGTCATCATCACCGTGCCCCAGATGGCCGAGTCCATCACCGAGGGCACCGTCGCCTCCCTCGGCAAGCAGGTCGGCGACCGCGTCGAGGCCGACGAGGAGGTCGCCAGCATCGAGACGGACAAGATCGACGTCGCCGTCAACGCCCCCCAGGAGGGTACCATCCTCGAGCTCTTCGTCGCCGAGGGCGACACTGTCGAGGTCGGCCAGAAGCTCGCCCGCATGGAGACCGGCGCCGCGCCCGCCGACGCCGCCGACAAGCCCAAGAAGGCCGACGACGCCAAGCCCGAGCCCAAGTCCGAGCCCGCCGCCGCCGCCGCCGCCGCTCCCGCCCCGGCGCAAGAGCAGAAGAAGGAGCCCGCCCCCGCCCCCAAGCAGGAGACCAAGCCCGCGCCGGCCCCCAAGCCCGCCCCCGCCGCCTCTGAGCAGCAGCAGCCCCAGGCGGCCTCCGGCGCCTTCTCCCGCGGCGAGCGCGTCGAGAAGCTCTCGCGCATGCGCAAGACCATCGCCACCAAGCTCAAGCAGTCGCAGAACGCGACGGCCTCGCTGACCACCATCAACGAGGTCGACATGTCGGCCCTCATGGCCTGGCGCGCCCAGAACAAGGAGGCCGTCATGAAGCGCCACGGCGTGCGCCTCGGCTACATGGGCGCCTTCACAAAGGCCACCTGCCTCGCCGCCCAGCAGGTGCCCCAGCTCAACGCCGCCATCGACACGGAGAAGGAGATCATCACCTACCGCGACTACGTCGACATCAGCATCGCCGTCAGCGCCCCCAAGGGCCTCGTCACCCCCGTCCTGCGCAACGTCGACGCCCTCGACATCATCGGCATCGAGCGCGGCGTCGCCGAGCTGGCTGCCAAGGTGAGTTTCTGCCCCCTGTCCTCCCCCACCCTCTCTCTCTCTCTCACTGAACCCCCGAGAGCGAGCAAATGCTAACACGAACACCATCAGGCCCGCGACGGCAAGCTCGCCATGGCCGACCTCGAGGGCGGCAACTTCTCCATCAGCAACCCCGGCGTCTTCGGCTCCATGTTCGGCACCCCCGTCATCAACTACCCCCAGGCCGCCGTCTTCAACATGAACGGCATCAAGGACCGCCCAGTCGTCGTCGACGGCAAGCTCGAGATCCGCCCCATGATGTACATCACCGTCACCTACGACCACCGCCTCATCGACGGCCGCGAGGCCGTCACCTTCCTCAACCTCGTCAAGAGGTATATCGAGGACCCCGCCAGCCTCCTGCTGGCTTAATTTTCCGTACAGTCCGCCAGAGAGAGGGAGAGGGAGAGAGAGCACATACACTATGCACACTCTTGCAACGCATACACACACACACACACACACACACACACACACACACACATACACATAGAGAGGTAGAGGGGATACAGCGGGGAGAAGAGCGCCATGGGACTGCTCGCAGACGAGGGGCCAACAACCTAGAGCATCTGTATTTTTACTTTGTAAATGGGCGGGACCGGGCTGATAGCATGGCCTTGCGGGCATTGGAGGGGGCGCAAACTGCAGCATATTGGGTGAATTTCGGTCGTGGATAATAGATACACACACAGAGAGAGAGAGAGAGAGAGAGAGATAGAAGGTCCAACATACGCCGTCGTCCTCTTTTCCCGTTGACAATACCTGACCCTAACCCTAACCCCGACAATCTTCATTCGTCGCGTTTGCACCGCATTCGGACCGACAGGACTCGGGCTAGACAGGCACCCCCGTCCAAGCTCCCCCCGTGTGGCATCATCCAGGCGGCCCGTCGCGAAGGTGGCGTTATCCTCCCGCACCGATCGCGGCGCCTCTTTGTTTTTGGAAGGGGAGCTAGAATACGCGCTACACTAAACGTATTGTATTTTCCGGAGGCGGAGGTCCCAGAGGGGAGCCGACCATTCTTTCGGCTTCGACATCCGATTGGCCATCAGCCGGATTGCTTGGTTCTGGACAGTGTGATTGATGGCCATCATCAGCTTAACACCAAAAATCAAAGACTGAATGTACTCATGTTCATGCGGGCCGTCATATCCAATCCTGATGGCCATAGTGATGACCGTAACAGCTTGCCGATACGTTTCCTCGCAGATGCGAGACCGTGTGGTGACTTTCTTTCAGACTTGCCCCGATTTTCTGTCATGGGCGTATACCATCCGACAAGTGAGGAATGATCAGTGGCTGTTTAGTCCAAAGATCTGTCGTAAGCGATGGACAAGATTCGGCATAGTCCTGATGCCGGGTCATGTAATATTGACGTGTGGCTTGTGTGATTCGAAGCGGCTGACGAAGCACTTGTTCTTCATGGCAGATTTCTACAAGGTCAATAATAAGCGGATGAACCGTTAGAGACGATGGCGGCCATCTACGTTACTCGAGCGTGGCCCTCTTCACTTACCTGCTCTCACCCGGCTGATGCATGTTCACGTACCTATCTGGGAGGGGTGTTTGACGATGCCCTATCATAATGTATCTAAAGTAATCTTTAGGCTCAGTATTATCCGCCCGACATGGTTGGTGCTATATTCATCCAAACATGTTACTGTCTCATTTCTCTAACTAAGCTCTTCGCTTATGCCTTGCTATGTCTATGCCTGGTCATAATGATCATTCTGACACAACTTTACATTGTCGGGCAATTTTAACAGCCTTGGAGAAGAAATACAATTTAGAGACAAAAAAGGACAGGAAATCACAGGAATCGCTGTAGATACAGCGCGTTTGATGTTGATTCGGTGTACCGTATGTATCCAGCTGTTCATAATAATAGGACACTGTCAACCCTGCCCACCCCATGTAGGTAGTCGATGAGAGTCGGCACGTACCATGTCTCAGCCATGAATCCAGTACTAAGGGCTAAGCGGGAGGCTGTTCCGGCGTCTTGGGCACATGCAAACTCGGCGGCGTGTCTGCGGCCGTTTGAAGCATGGCGCGGGAGGTCTAGACTGGCGAGATCCAAGACATTGCGTGCCCGCGCGCCCAATCAGAACGTGCAGGATTCCGAATAGTGTCCAATGAATCAACCGCTCAGTGCCCCGTTATGGACAGGATGTCTGAGTTTAGTTAGTAACATCGAATGTTCAGCTACGGTTCTTGCGCCTCCATCTAAACTTGCTTTGGCTAGCGCACCCAATACTGAATCTGTCTTGGGGGGGGGGGGGGGGGGGCTCTAAAGTGTTCAGCCAGCCGCAGACTGCCTGCTGTACTCTCATTCTTATTCGGAATTTTGATCAACAGCCATAGGTCAGGATTACGGAGGCGAAGACGGCATAGATGAAAACGCTCTTGTAATGCGCAGCCTGTACCGCGCGCGGCGGAACTAATGGGAGCTGAAGTTAGATATCGAGACTTGGCTGGCGGTAAGTCCGCCTGCCGGATTCGGGTTGTATTATTGTTTTGATAACGAGAGCCTCGGAACAGGATTCGAGTCTGGTTGTTATAAATATCAAGGAGGTCCTCTCATTTTCCAGCTTGGACTCCACCTTGATTACCAGCAGCTGTCATTCACCAATTCACATTACTTTTGCATCAACTTAATCCTCCAAAGCCTTCACCATGTCTACCGAAGTATCTGAACCCGTTGACTCATACAAGTCACAGTGGGCTCGTTATGTGTCGCGCACAACGTTTGAGAGGGACGTCCAATTGGTGTCATCGAGGTTGCGTGACATGAAATCGGGCACGCCGATCCCCAACAACGTTGCTGGCCTCGCCGAGCTCACCGAACCCGTCACCACCGGAGGCCTCACCCCGGAGAAGCCCGGCGAGTTCAGGGTGGGCATCGTGGGAGCCGGCGTCGCCGGCCTCTTCACCGCCCTGTTGCTCGACTGGGTGTGCGAGAACGTCAAAGGTCTCAAGATCGACTACGACATCCTCGAGGCCTCTGACAAGACGCGGTTCGGCGGACGGCTGTTCACGCACTACTTCGATGACCCACCCAAGCGGGTGCACGACTATTACGATGTCGGCGCCATGCGCTTCCCCGATAACACCGTCATGGACAGGTATGTACACGGGACAAGGCCGGGACGGCACTCAATGCTGACTGATGGGCGCAGAACTTTCCGTCTCTTTGAATTCTTGGGCATCAAGAAGATAGAAAAGGGACAGCCGAACCCCCGCAAGCGGCCCGAGGACCCTCCCGTTCTTGTGCAGTACTTCATGGAGGACACCAAAGATGTTTGCCCCTCGCTGTTCAACGACCGCCGCACTGTCGGCCGCGTCTACAAAATGGAAGGGGTCGTAGACCCATACGATCTCAACAAGGGCCTCCTAGAAGATCAAAGGATACCCGAGAAGTAAGCTACGGCTGGTGTTGTGCTTCAGTCGTCTGAGAGGTTCAGGCTAATCTCTTCTCGCGCCATCCTAGGTTCCTCAAAGTAGACCCCAACACACTTTTCGAGGAAGCCATTCGTCCATACATCGATGCCGTGAAGGACGGCCTGGACAAGCGCAAGACCGACCCTTCGCTCGATGCTAGTTCGGTCAAGACTAGCGAAGCCAAGGCGCCAGGCGACGAGGAGTTGTTCTGGAAAATGCTACGGCAGTCGGACCGGATGAGCGTTCGCCAATTCCTCCTCTCGTAAGGATGCCAAAGACCAGTTCGGCGTCATGCAACGAAGCTGATAGTGATACCTTAGCAAAGAAAACCCGTCCTTGGGGATCACAGGGCCCGGATATAGCTACAATACCGTTGAATGGATGGAAACGGCAACCTAGTAAGTCATATATACCGCGTCAGCGCGTGTCCTCGCTTACTCTCCATTTCGCAGTGGAACCGGATGGTATGACCAGTCCCTCACGGAAGCCGTCCTGGAACACTTGGATTTCGCCACCGAAAAGCCTATCAACGATTACTGGTGGTGCGTGGACGGCGGCGCGCAAAAGATGGCGGAGGAGATGCGCAAGAAGCTCAAGAACCCGGACTGCATCCAGTTCAACAGCCAGGTCGTTGCAATGGACGCCCACGCCAGCCCCAACCGGGACAAGGCGGAGCAGCTCTCCCTCAAGATCCGCAATACCAAGGCGAAGCCCGACAGCGGCGGCGCGGAAAGGGACGAGAGATATTTTACCGTTTTCAACTCTACGACTCTTGGGTCGATGGGTCGCATGGACCTGTCGAAGGCCGGTCTGCTATGGGATACCAAGCAAGCCATCCGCTGCTTGGGCTACGGCGCTTCGTGCAAGGTTGGCATGAGGTTCAAGGAGGCCTGGTGGAGAAAGAAGCCCTTTAACATCACGCAAGGCGGTCTCGCGCGGACCGATCTCCCGCTCCAGGTCTGCGTCTATCCGTCGTACAACATCCATGACGACGTCGACGAGCCTGCCGTGCTGCTGGTGTCCTACACGTGGGGCCAAGAGGCCCAGCGGATCGCGAGCCTGATATCGTCCAACTCGCCGGCCGGGGAAGAAGAGCTCAAGAAGGTGCTCCTCCACGACCTGGCGATGCTGCACTCCGGCGTGGCGAGCCCCTACGAGGACACTCTCGCCCTCATCTCCGGCCTCTACGACACCCATCACGCGTACGACTGGTACCGCGACCCCCACATGGCGGGCGCGTTCGCGTACTTTGGGCCGTGCCAGTTCTGGGACCTCTACCCGGCCATCACGAAGCCCAACGCCTTCGGTCAGCTGTACTTCGTGGGCGAGGCGGCCTCGGCGCACCACGCCTGGGTCGTCGGCGCCCTCGAGAGCGTCGTCCGCGCGGCCTGGAGCATGTTCAACCTCCTCCACCAGGGCAGCCTGAAAGAGCTCGGCGGGGAGGGCTACAAGCCGTACCTCGACGCGATGGACCTGCTGGAGAAGGACGCAAAGGAGGAGGGCGGAGAGCGGCTCCCGTTTTACCCGCTGCCTACGGAGCTGCCCATGCGCCGCAAGGGACAAAAGGCCGGCGAACTGATAGACCACCCTGACTATCATGACGGAAAGGAGACGCCGATGAAGTTCGGCGCCGCCCTGAGCATCCTCAGCGTCATTGAGTGCTTCATCGAGGAGTTTGATAAGATGGAAGGGGTGCAGTCGTTGATGGAGGTTCTATGACTCGATGCGTCCAGCAAAACAACGCCACAGAAATATGCTTAACTCTTAATATTGATCAAGGAGCAAATTCTTACCTGAGAATGACGGTGTGGTTTCACGACCGGATTTGTGTAAAACTCGGGATGGTCAGCAATCGGCTGAAACTGCATCCATATATACCAATCCTCCTCGAGGCAAGCTCTGACTGCGACCCATGCCGCTGTCAGACAGTGGCATCACAACCATTGGCTAGATCTTTGAGCTTATATCACACCGCATTGGGTAAAACGACATAGATTCGAGCGGACGACTAAGAACGTTCGGAACCGAGCTACTGAGATGACCGCAGACGATCCTTGCAACGCCTGCGATACGACCATATGCTTATACCACTTTCCTCTTGCGCCTTGGTGCGTGCTTGAACGATTCACGGAAAAACCCTCAGGGGTGACTGGAGTCTTGATCATTCAAATAGTTGCTGCGCCCTTTGATGCTGTGAAAAAGACTCCCTGAAACTCTCTCCTCTCATCGAACCGCCAGAGATGGTATTATCAACAGCGGCCTCCGGCCAAGGTGATTACAAGGCGCAGCCCAAGATAAGCGCACATGATGGAGGCGACGATGAAAAATGCACGCAGCCAGATCCCTCGAGAAGGGGGAAAAAACAAAAAGGGGTTTCCCTGCTGAACAATTCGGAAACAGTTGTCTCTACCGATACTACGAGCGACGAGGACGCAGAGCTCAATCGCCTCGGTCTCGAGTCACCAGCAAAGCGAGATATCGGGCTTCTGGGGATCGTCGGTTTGGGATGGAACATCACCAACAGCTGGTCGGCGATCTCTGCAACGCTCGTCATATCCATCACCTCGGGCGGGCCGGTCACTCTGCTCTACGGCATCATACTCATCTTCGTGCTCGGGAGTGCCTGCGCTCTGAGCATGGCCGAGATCGCTTCCGTCTACCCAACTGCCGGGGGCCAGTACCACTGGACGAGTATTTTGGCACCAAGACATGTCAGCCGCGGTCTCGTAAGTCGTGCGCGCCTAGAATCCCTCGTGATGTGATGCGCTTCGGGGTATGATAAATGAAAGCACGATGATGACGACGGCCTTTTAGAGCTACTGCTGCGGATCCATCAACTTCCTCGGCTGGATCGCGAACGGCGCCGGCTTCATCATCCAGATGCCCGTCATCATTCTCTCCCTCGCGGCCTACCTCGACCCGACGTATGTGCCCGAGACCTGGCACATCTTTCTGGTCTTTCAGGCCTTCAACGTCGCCTTCACCGCGTACAACGTTTTCCTCATGAATCGTACCGCTTGGATCCACGATATTGGATGTAGGCTGCATTGACGGATCCCCCCCCCCCCCCCCCCCCGCGCAAACCCGCGCGCCGGGCTGACCAAAAGAAAACCTGTAGTATTCCTCTCACTCGCTGGCTTCGTCGTCATCACCGTTACGTGCCTGGCGCGGTCGAAGCACAAGCAGGATGACGCCTTCGTCTGGGCCGCTTTCATCAACGAGAGCGGGTGGTCGTCGCGCGGAATAGTCTTCTTGACGGGGCTGCTCAACCCCAACTTCATCTACTCGGGTCTCGACGGTGCTATTCATCTGGCAGACGAGTGCACGAACGCGTCCTCCGCGATACCAAGCGCCTTGATCTCAACAGTCACCATCGGCTTCGTGTCGGCCTTTACCTTTAGCGTGGCCATGTTGTATGGCTTCGCTGATCTTGAGCCTGTGTTGTCGTCTCCGTAAGATAGTTCCATCTTTCCTCTCCCCCCCCATGCTGGTTTCTGTGGATACGACGATGCCATCATGCAAAGGATCTTGGATCCCACATCCCCCGGGAGCCGTACTAATAACCTCGTTGCTTTACAGGCTTCCTATCCTTGAGATATGGTCTCAAGCGACCGGGTCAAGCGCGGCAGCAACCGCCTTTGTGGTCATTCTCTCGGTTTGCGGCTGCTTTGCATGCACAGGCGCCTTGCAGACGGCCAGTCGACTGACATGGTCATTCGCTCGCGACGATGCAATCGTCTTCTCTTCCTTCCTGCGAAAAGTGCATCCCACTCTCGGGGTGCCCGTCAACGCGCTTCTCGTCAACTTCTTTCCCGTCTTCGCTCTCGGCTGCGTCTTCCTCGGGTCTTCGACGGCCTTCAACGCCCTTGTCGCCACCGGCCTCATCCTCCAGCAGGTCAGCTTCGCGTTCCCTGCTGCATTGGCCCTCTACCACCGCGCCAGGGGACCGGCGGCGTTCGAGAAGGTGCTGCCGCGGAGGAAATTCAGACTGCCGGGCGTTGCGGGGCTCCTTGCCAATTCTCTGACGATTGTTCACGGTCTTCTGGCCCTGGTGTTTTACGTCTTTCCTGTGGTTATGCCGGTCTCTGCATCCAACATGAGTATGCATCCCCCCCGCCCCTATACAGTTGATCATTCTGGCTGATTCAGTAAAAAGACTATGCAATTGTTGTACTGGGTGTAATGGGACTCTTTTCTGTGGCAAACTGGTTTGTTTACGCGAACAAGAAATACAAGGGGCCCCGACTTGATTAGCCGCAAAGAAGCGAGACGGAATCGAGACGAACTCGTCTACTTAAAGCGAACCAAAACATTTTGAAAGTCTTCAAACCCATTTCAAACCCACCATGGTCTCGCACCAGATTCGAGTACCAATGGCAAAAAGAGTTCTCTACTCAAGAAGGCTAGCGGCGGCAAGACTGCGTTTGTACAGCAGAGTACGGCGTACACGCAGCAAAATGGAAACAAGGACAAGGGCTCCGTGAAGAGAGCTTGCTACTCTGTTCCGTACCGCGGCAGCAAACCCTGTTACAGATTCCGCTCCACCCATGTATTGAATGCAAGCCCTGGTCTAGGTAGAGCAAAACATTGGGCGATACTCAGAACCACGCCTCAGAAGCTTGTAAGCGAGAGGTTGGGTCCGAACACAGCCAAACTTTGGGTGTCCCCGTGATAATAGGAGCAGGGAGGTGTCGGCTATACGGCATGGATTCAGCATAAGCTACCCCCCTCGAGACTGCCAAATGCCAGAGCCAAACATGCTTGCCATAGAGCAGCTGAAACGATATAACACTCTCTCCTTCTTGTCAAATTTCGTTTAACCAAAATCATCCGGATGCCGAAATAGGCACTTGTTGATGGGTCATATTTAGCTCTCCCGCGCTGGAGAAATGCCAAGCATGGCGTACTGTTCTAAGCATCGTCCCCTGGCGGTGAACGGTACCCAATAATAAATTAAGACTATTGCTTGACGGAACTGAATCCATGTGGCGGAACAGACGCCAAGGCTCGCAAATTGAGCGTGGGGGCATATAGGTATGGTAGGTTAGCTGCGTGGGAAACGACATTAGGGATGCTCTCCCGAGAGGTTGTCAGTCTAATTGGCTACTAACTTGATTTAGGTTACATTCCGGCGAAGGGCGGCAGAGACCTGAATTTATTACGAAAAGTGCCCATTCCGGATCCGCCTTCAGTATCTGAATCACCCCGTCATGTCAAAACTGTCAATTTTGTCTGCGCTCGTGCACACGAGACGGACCTCGAGTCACCCAGTTGGGATTCTCAACCAATCTCGTCTAAGCCGGTATCCAAGATGAGAGATAGATCGTGTCACTTGAGGGCGGATGATGTGGGCGACATGCCTACCATTGAATTGACTTGCCTGCCCGTCCACCGCATCCCGCACCTGTCAATGCAACCAAGGGATGGCATGCAAGGGTAGCTCAGACCGCGTGGTGATGGAGTCAGAAATCCCACGGGGGGGGGGCACTGGTGCGTCTGAAGGCTCTGATCTTCTGAAACAGTAAATCTTAAGACAAGCATCAGGTGTACATCCACTCTCAGTGCGCGCATGAGTCTGACGAAATCACCATCTCTGCGCCTCGATAACAACGGCCACCTTGCCTCAGTTCTACGTAGTAGAGGATGCCAGGAGGAACTGACTGACTTTCAGCAGCCCATGGGTCTTTCGGCTCTCCCCTACCATGATAAACAATCAGGTAGGAACATCACATCGAGTGTGTTCACGTGCAAAAGATAGAATGCCGCTGACAGACCAGGGGGGGTGAGTGGCACCAAAGATATGATTCGGCGCGAGATGCCCAAAAGGGTGAGCTTGTTGTCCCCCCCGGACACCGTTTCTGGGGTAGCGAAACTCTTTTGAGGTGCAGTCTGTCTGTCAGAGGCGCACGTATTCGGCCGTTCTAGAAATCCGCGGCATAGAGAGTCTGTATAAACCCCCTGCGCTAAGCCTTGGAGAAATGAAAAATGACCCCTTACCCACCGCGACCAAACGGCATCACCGTGATCCGGAGACCGCAAGAGGGTTCCCATTGGTCTCTTGGGCAACTAAGCATTTCTGCAGTGGGGCGTCTACCAATATGTCGGTCAGGATAAGATCTCCCCCCCCCTGACCCAAAACATAACCGCCTTCATCCCTGGCGAAACTTAACGCAGGACAACCTGCGGCTGGGTGTGTCTGATCATCGTGCTCACCCTTCCCTTCCCACCGTCTCATCAGGCCGGCGTGCCGAAGCCGGCCCATGATTGGTCGTAACGCAGTCGAGTCCGCGGATTACGCGAGCTATACTGCCATGATTGACGCAGGGCTCTCTCCTAGCCGGGATTCGAGTCAGTCTTGCCTCGTCGAGTGATTGGCTAGGTCATCAAGTGGAAACTCGTTGCGGCAATACCTCAACCCCGGCCCATGCCGGACCACTCATTCGGGTTCACCAAGTTCCTGGACCTGGCAACATCCTCAAGCCGGTTCAACCGACTCAACTCGTCTCAAGTTGCCTTCCGCGCCTCGAGGCCCCCGGCCTCTCACCCCGGAGACGGGGTCAATGGTCTGGACTCCTCGAGCCACCCCTCGGCCGACGGGTAGTGAATGCTGGCTGATCAACAGGCTATGCTCTGTACCGTCCGATGTTCAGTGACGTGCCAGGGGTTGCTCTGATCATGTTTTTATCGTCTGGTCTTTTCCATATAAACCGGAGTGATCGCCCTGCCATCAACGCATCTTTCGTTCTTGCCCATAGCATCACAACTTCGAGCTACACTCTCTTCGTTTCATTCATTCTTTTCTACTACGGGTTCTGTGAACTCTTCCATTCTTTGCATTGCTTGCAATCGACCTTTTTCGACCTACGTTTCTTCTATCCACTCTTCTCCTAGCATACCTTTGCTCTCCGACCCTTTTGTGTTATCAAAATCACTTTCGGACAAGATGAAGTACCAAACTGTTGCTTTCGCCTCTTCGGCTCTCCTCGGCCTCGTGTCCGGTGCTCCTCAGCACCTCCGCCGCGTCTCCAAGCGCGAGGTCCCCCAGGAACACTCGCATGAGATCTTCCTCGACATCACGCGCGAGAACTTGGCCAAGAACAACCCCAAGCAGATCTCCGACCCCGTCTTCGGCCTCCTCGGCGATGCCGCGGCCGCAAAGGGCGCCGGCCAGGTCACCAACCTCGCCTGCCTGCAGCAGGAGACGGCCGACCAGGCCTTCACCAACGCCAAGGCCGCCAACGACATCCGCGGCATGTCCGCCGCTCTGGTCTACCAGGCCATCGAGCGCAACACCGCGGGCGTCGGCAAGACCAGCGCCGCTTGCACTGACAAGGCCGTCAACCCCGAGATCGCGGCCCTGGTCAACAAGCACCAGGACCCCGCCTCTGACGGTGCGGCCGCCAACAACAAGGCCGTCACCCTCGAGCTTGCGAAGCAGCTTGCCTCGGTCGGCGGTGACCCCATGCTCGCTCTCATGAGCGGCACCTTCGCCCCCGGCGACAAGGCCGACACCACCGGAAAGGGCAACTCTTGCGACGACGCTAATGACCCTACCGGCTGCATCTTCACCCAGAAGAAGCTCGTCCTCGACGCCACCCCCGATGAGATCACCCAGGCCGTCAAGGGCATCACCCCGACCATCACCGGAGGCACGGGCGAGCTGAAGGCTGCCGACGTCGCCAATGTAGCCGACTTCAAGGTTGCTGGAGGTGCCGCCGCCGCTGCTCCCGCCGCCGCTGCTCCCGCCGCCACTGCTCCCGCCACTGTTGCCACCGCTGTTACCATCACTGTTCCCACCGCTACTCCCTCCGCTACTCCCGCAGCTGGTAACGACAACGACGCTGGCAACCAGAAGAACGGCGCCTCTTGCAAGGCCAAGGACAACAGCGCCGCCGCTGACGCCAACAACGCCACCGCCGGCGCTGATGCTGCTGCCGGTGCCGCCGCCCCCGCCGGCACCAACGTTACTCTAGGGTTGCGCGCGCCTGGCATATACCAGACCATTTTGCACTGGCATAGGGTCGGGTAGCAATCTGAGCCTGACAGCAGAGATTGCCCCATGAGTTATGCACTCGATAACAGGTCAATGGTCATTTGTGACGCATAAGAAAAGGTAGTTACGCCCAATAGACCCCACGTCGTCCCACTAAACGCTTGTGGGGTTAATC